ATAAAGGGCTGGAAAAAGCTTCATCTACTAAATCTTTACTTGATGGGCTATGGTTAAAAGAAAAGAAGCAGGACCAGTTTAAGAAGTATTATATTCCTAATGGCAAAACATAGGCTCTATCTTCACTGCCTTATAATACAGTTTGAAACTGCATTGTATCGTCAGTGTACACTCACATAATGTAGTGTATGTCTACACTGACCATACAATATAATTTCAGTGTAGATGGGCTTTAGTGAACGTGATCAGTTGCCTACAGGTTATCTAAGTTACATTTTAAAACATTCATTATGTTATTTCCCCCTCAATGCTTTTGTTTTAACTATTGTAAGCCATCTTGAGTTCACAAATAAAAGAGAAAAAAACACCACCMCCCCCCCAMMMAAAAATAATCACCCAAAAATTTCCAGAATACAGCGGTAGGATTTATATTGTACCCCGCTACCATCTCCTCAAGGGACTCGGTGCGGCTTACATGAGCTTACATGAGGCCAAGCCCATAGTGCTCTAATTGCTTGAAAAATGTAATATAGACCAGAAGTGGACTGCTTTCTGGTCCACTTTGGTGTACAGCAGTGGTCCCCAACCTTTTTTTGCCCAGGGACCACTTTGACCAGGGACCACTCTACAACATTAGCGCCAAAAGGGTTACAAATCAGTTTTTGATTAACTTTTGATTCGATTTGGTTATTTGGCGTGCCAGTTCAGAAAATTGCATTCAATAGACCGCATCAGCTCTAGTTTCTGATACAGAACATATTCCATCCAGCAGTCGCCATCTGCGTACCCACAGAAAACCACATTTAATCAGCCTCAGCACTGAACGTTTCTTGTTGCAACAGTGTAGTAACAGTGAGGCCACAAACCATATTTTAGTTCTTGCGGATCACAGGTGGTCCATGGACTATAGGTTGGGAACCATTGGTGTACAGTTTCCATTGTTGGTGCTTATGAAGCACTTCTAACTGGACGAGATATCCTTGTTTACAGGATTTTCTCTCTGTTCCCAGCTTTGATTCTCAGCTGCCACGCAGAGACCTTTTGTTCTCCCTGATCTCGTTTAAGTTCTGACCTTTGCATTGTTTGAATCTGTTGTTTTTAATTGATAGTGAGTGATTGATTTTGCATTGATTTTATGGTGAACTTCATTGTGAACTGTTTGGCTGAAGGGCAGCGAACAAATGCAATTTTAGAAAGAAATGCATAAATGGATACAAACCTTGACTGTTTATCAGGGACATCTGAATGCAGCCTGCCACAGGCGCTAATACCCAAGCTTTCATCAGCCACAATAATATGTCTTTGAAGCTGATGGCTTGATAATGGAGATGCCATCCCATCCCATCCCATTTCTCTCTCTTTCAAATACGACATTTGCTTTAGTGTGGTAGGATCACATATATCTGTCCAGTTTGTCACTGTAACATCCATTTGCAACTTCTGACCTCACCATATACGATTGGCTTACTGCTTAGTAATGTAGCTGTCGCGAGTGCCGTCTTTCTTCACAGGTCTGTCTAGTAGTAATTGAGTTCACTGTTTGAAACAAACAATTGAGATCTGTGAAATGTATTGATTTAGCAGTTCTCTCTTTAGATTTCAAAAATGACTGCTTTTTAGACTAAAAGTTTAGACCGTGCTGTAAAGCAAAATAGTTTAGGGCACGTTTACTGACAGTTTAGACAACAGAATCCCAAATCCTACATACTGTTGGTATAGGGGAAAACAGAAAGAAAGGGCTGTTCGATTTTCTGCAAAAACTTTCTGAATGTCACATTATGAACTCCAGCTGCTGTGTCATATTTGTTTCTTGATTTACCCAAGGGAAATGATCTTTTTTTTGCTATTCCAGCAGGAAAGATCGGGCACTCGAGGAGACCCTTTCTCTACAGTTCAGCTGTGGTATATCACTTGGGGGGATAGGCTTGAATTGAGGACCTATATCGTGTCCAGACCTTTTACTGCAACCCAGCAGAGCTGCCAAAAGCTAAACGAATTATTTAATAAAACCCTTTTCTTGCTGGCTGCTGGAAAAATGGAGATCAGCTTAGACTGCTATATTACAGAGCTCAACAGCCTAGGCGTGTGCTATGGAATCTGGAAGGTCATATATCTTATTCCTATTAGTCTGTGAGAGAAAGTTGCTTCTCAGCATATGTCTTGGTCTCTGTTCAGTACCTTGCTTTTGGACCTCCGTTAATTCTTGGATAATACTCCTATGTATCTTATACACACACCCAAACAGTGGAACAAAATATGACTGACCTTGGAACCTGTGATGTCCAGTACTACTTTGCCCTTCCCAAAAAGAGGTATAGGTAGAACGTTGTCTAGAATGGGAGTGGGCAATTAAGACTGTTTGGAGATTTTTTATGGTCCTCACAAGCTGGTAAAAATGCATCCCTTCCAAAATGAAACCTGAAAGTTCCCGTCTGATTCTGAAAATTGAGCATAAGAAGCCAGAGTTGGCCACAGTGGCCCACACTCTTGTTACATCCTAAATGGATTATTTCAACGCGCTCCATGTGGGGTTGCCTTTGAAGATGGTTTGGAAGCTTCAAGTATTCCAACAGGCAGTAGCTGTATTATTCACTGGAGTGGGGTACAGGGAGCACACAATCCCCCTATTGCGCTGCCAGTCTGTTACTGAGCACAATTTTAAGTGTTAGCCTATAAAGCCCTGAACCAGTGCTTCTCAACCTGTGGGCCCCCAGATGTTTTGGCCTTCAACTCCCAGAAATCCTAACAACTGGTAAATTGGCTGAGATTTCAGGGAGTTATAGGCAGGCCTGTAGCGAGGGGGGGGGGGGGTTAGGGGTTCAACCCTCCCCCCCTGAAATGTTTCAGATTATTTAAAAAACCTGGTTTACTCATGAATTTTAACTGCTTAACCAAATCTCCATGCTAAGTCTATGAGATGCAAAAAATTAAGAGTCCCTCCAGAACTGCAAGCACTATCTCAAGCAAATATTGACAATTTATTCACACTGTCATTACTTGCAGCAATAGCCGATGTAGCGAAGCAACCAAGTTGGGGGGGGGGGGTGTTGAATGCTCTCATTAAGGAGGCCAGACTTGGTGGAGGTGGTTGACAGGGGCGGAGCTGCAGGCTATTGAAGGCTGCTCTGCCCCCTGCTGTGCTCTTTGCTTCAGCGTGAGCTAGGAGGCAGGTTTCAACCCCCCCTCCCCCAAAATTTTCAACCCCCACCCCCCCCCCCCCAAATTTCAACCCCTCCCGAAATTTTTTTCTGGCTACGGCCCTGGTTGTAGGCCAAAACACCTGGGGACCCACAGGTTGAGAACCACTGCCATAAACAGTTCCAACCCAGTTTACCTGTCTGAAGACCTCTCCCCCTATGAGCCACCTTGGAGATTAAGATCCTCTGGGGAGGTACTGCTCTTGGTCCCACCCCCTTTGCAGGTGCAGTTGGCGGAGATGTGAGACAGGGCTTTCTCGGTGATGGCGCCCTGGCTATGGAACTCCTTCCCCAGCAAAATTAAAACAGCCCCTTCCCTCCTGGTCCTTTAGGAAGAAAGTAAAAACGTGGTTATGGGACCAAGCCTTTGGACAATAATTGTGTAGTGCAATAAATAAATACAGATTAGTGCAATGATGACTGGAACTGCCTTGGATTACGAGTTTGGATTGCGTGGTTTTAATATTTGTTTTAATGTTTATATGTATTTTAAATTTCTTGTTTTAATGTATATGTTTATTTTATTGTATGTATATTTAATGGCATTGGATTGTTGGCTACCTGTGAGACCACTCTGTGTTCCCTTCAGAACAAATGTAATAAATAAATAAATGTTTTAAAATGCTAAACAGTGAAAGGGGAACAGCAATCTTTTTATTGTCGAAGGCTTTCATGGCCGGAATCACTGGGTTGTTGTAGGTTTTTCCGGGCTATATGGCCATGTTCTAGAGGCATTTTCTCCTGACGTTTCGCCTGCATTTATGGCAAGCATCCTCAGACGTAGTGAGGTCACTACCTCTCTACCTCACCACCTCACTACCTCTGAGGGTGCTTGCCATAGATGCAGGTGAAACGTCAGAAGAAAATGCCTCTAGAACATGGCCTTATAGCCTGGAAAAACCTACAACAACCCAGTAATCTTTTTATTTTTTTGACCGAAAACAGTGGTCCAGCAAGTCTTCGGGGATCGGCAACTATAAAAACACTTATATGGGACAAATGCAACCACTCTTTGCTCACTCAAAAATATTGTATTAAAATTCAATAATTACCTCTCATATGTGAAATTTTAAACCATTATTTTAAATGTTTTTTCCTAAAACAGTTATTGTTTTCTCCTAAAACAATAACTGGTGAGATGTAGTCCAGGAGGTTAATTGAGGGAGTTGTCATTTGTTGCCATTTTTAATAATTGTAATGGATTTTCATATGATGTAAACCTAATTTGTTTCCAGTGCATTATTATCATCCAAACAAATCAATGTTATAGTTATTGATAAAAAGATTAATATAAATGGATGAAGCTCTGAATTAGTGTTAATGTGAATGAAGTGGAAGTAATAGAGATATTCAAGCTCTGCATTTATCTTTGCAATGTTGAGCTTTGAGGTTCATGATGAACTTCACTCTTCTTCTTTTTACTTCATTATGGAAGTTGTGAGATGGAGACTTGAAGACTGTGTCACAGTGTGATTTTGGGGACTCATAAGAAGGACTTTCTCATGCCTTGACTTTTTGGAACCTGCACTATGTCAGGGCAAGGTCATAATCATAGCGTGCCTCCACTTTTTTCCAGGATTGGGGGAAAAGCTGAAGGCTCTCCTCAAAGTAAAAAAAAAAGCATGTACATTTGTTCCCCTCTGCTCTTGAATAATATTTTGATGTTTCATGTGGGCATGTATGGGTGCCTTCAACATCAAAGGCAGCTAGCATCATGACATTTAGATCTTGTTCTAAAATTCAGTAATCTTCTGTATATGGTCAAGGCAAACCTGGTAATTTCTCCTTTCTTTCCTTTCACAGGCTCTCTACAATTCAATCAAAAACGAGAAGCTCGAGTGGGCAGCGTAAGTATATTTGTGGAATTAATGAGTTTCTAAAATGATTCTTTTTATGATTTTCCACTTTCTATGCTGGCAACATTGGGAACGGATTCTAGAACTTGCAGGTTTTCATCTCAGGCATCCAAAAAAGCAATCCAACAACTTCTGTTCTGGACTATTCTTCATTTTGCAATTGGATACCTATCAGAGCTCATGTAATGCAGCATTGAAGAAATTGAGTAGTGATTGACCTCAAATAAAGACTCATTTGGTGGTCAATTGCAAATGTCACATCAGATATTTATTGGTAATATGAGGATAATAATGCCATCAGATTTTATATAGCAAGGGTGGCAACTGCCAGTGATTGGGATGCCTCACTTGTGGGAGCCACCAAATATGGAAGGAAGCATCTCATCCTCCATTTTCACATCCAATGCTCCCCTGAATTTTGGGTGTCATATTGTTTTTGTTTGGTTCTCCAAGGGGCCGGTAGAGCTGCCAAAGATGTGTGTGTTGTGTTGCTTACTGGTCATCCTGCTGAATTTGCATGCCCTCACTTTTTCCAGGCCTGGATAGGTCTTAATTCCAAACAGGAGGTTACCAACCAGACACTTACTGTTTGAGAAAAAAAGCTTCACTGCCAGCATTAAAAATGTAATGATTCCATTGCAATTCCCCAGAGGTGAAAAGTGTGTGCCCAATGGCCCCCAAATGCAGAATCAAAGTCAGAGGAGACTATTGGCCATTTTCAGAGTGAAACTAAAATAAAAATAGACGCACTCATGTCTAATTTGCAAAAACAGTCATGGAGGGCTGAATGTGGCTTGCAGGCTACATTTTCCCCAACCCTAATTTAAAGGGTTGGTGTAGAGCAGTGGTTCTCAACCTGTGTATCCCCAGATGTTTTGGCCTTCAACTCCCAGAAATCCTAATAGCTGGTAAACTGGCTGAGATTTCTGGGAGTTGTAGGCCAAAACACCTGGGGACCCACAGGTTGAGAACCACTGGTGTAGGGGATTGCCTTAGTAATGTATGCAAAGTACTGGGAGTGTCGAAACAATGGACCCAAGTTCTAAGCGGTATATTTCATGATGGCAATGTGTTACAATTACATAAAGATGGCAAATGGTTTAATGAGTTATGAAGTTTTACAAAACATTTTGAACCACAAATAAATTTAGAGAGTAACTCTGCAAATGGAAAATACCTCATTAAGCCTTATGTTGTGGGGTTATCATCTTGCAAATGATTTAGGCCAGGGGCTTTTTGTACTCGGGAGAGGCATCTGGTGCTAAGCATTTGAAACTCTATTATTATTATTATTATTATTATTATTATTATTATTATTATCTTGATTTATACCCCGCTAACATCTCCCGAAGGACTCGTTGCGGCTTACAAAAGGCCAAGGTCCTCAATAAAACAGCATAACAAATACAACAATAAAACTCATAAAGCAAAACAAAGAAATTAAAGCAATAACAATAAACATTAAAACAATAACACCACGACGCATTTAAAACTAAGGCCAGGCCAAAGGTAATGAATAAAATTTAAAAGTGCTGGGCATGACAGGTAAAATGTATAGGTTTTTAGGGGTAGGTGCGTTGTGCAGACAATCTTAAATCTCTAGTAAAGTGCATTTGCACTATGGCCCACCTTTTCAGGGGGTACGAGTTTTATTCAAAGGCAGTTCGTAGTTGGAATTTCAAATATCAATTTTCACCGCTTTGAGTCACGTGAGGGCGGAGAAAAGCAGTATATAAATAAAGTAAATAAAGTCAATAAATAAAGTAAATAAATAAATTGGGTTTATCTTTTTGAAATCGTTGTTACCCAGATTTTAGGTAGTTTGTGCAGCAGTGATGTTCTCAATTTAAATCTCTGTAGTTCTATACACTTACATCTATTTTCATCCAGATGTATTGTTCGTTTACTTAAAGTATTGATATACCAGCTATCAGATGTATTTCTGTGTTAGTTTACACTAGAAGGAGTCTGTGGACATAACGTATTCTTCCTAAGCTAGCTTGACGCCCTCAGCTTCACCCAAGGACATTGTCTCATCCCTAGTGCTGAAATAAAATTCAGGCACCAGTTATGTCAGCTTTTGTACATGAAATGTAGGAGGATGCCACCTTTCTCTTTGCCTCAGGCACCAACATGAGTTAGTACAACCTTGTAGAGAGTGACACCCATCTCCATATTATCTTACTTTAGAGTCAGATACTTTTGCAGATAGGCAGACTTTCAAGAAGCTCCTGTTTGAATCTGTTAAAAACTTTGAAGGTCAAAAGCAGTACTCTCAATTGGGCTCAGAAACTGATAGAGATCCAGTGCCATGGGCAGAGGCACAACATGATTTTAACATTCATTTCTAGTCAGTGTTCTAGCAAGTGTTTATTTATCGTGACAGAAGCGATTTGAGGATACAGTTATAATGTATTTTAAAACACATACAAAGTCAAAACTTGGCTTTATGCCTCCTTAGACAGAAGCTTGGAGTGCCTCTGATGTTGCTGTGAGAAGAAGGTCCTCCATTGTGCATGTGGCAGGGCTCAGTTTGCATTGTAGTAGGTGGTCTGTTGTTTGATCTTCTCCATACTCACATGCCATGGTCTCCACTTTGTAGCCCCATTTCTTAAGATTAGCTCTGCATCTCGTGGTGCCAGAGCTCAGTCTGTTCAGCTCCTTCCAGGTCTAGCAAATGCAATTTGCACTAACAGCAGGTCCCAAACCATCTTCAGATTTAGACTCGTATATTGCATCATTGCATAGTCTGGCCTATAACATCTATATAAACTACTGTATCAGAAAGAAAGAACTTACAAATGTGGACTAGTTCACTTAATTTTGGCTTCTCTTCCTCCTCTTTATTCCTATACACCCTATAATGAAGCATTTGTTACTGTTAGCTTCGGACTGCACCAGATCTAAAGTCTGCTCTGCTAGGTTTTCTTATTATTATTTTGATGGAACCTTTGTGGGAATTCATACTCTACTAGCCGTCCCCTGCCACGTGTTGCTGTGGCCCAGTCTGGTGATCTGGAAAATAGAGTAATAAGAAAGTGTTGGTTTCTAATATATGTAATTTCTTTATGCTTGTGGGTAAACAGTATTTGATTGTGTTTTCTTGCCCTGGTGAAGGGAGTTGGACTGGGTGGCCTTAAGTCTTTTCTATTGGTCATAGGGGTGGTGCAGTGGGTTAAACCCCTGTGCCGGCAGGACTGAAGACCAACAGGTCGCAGGTTCAAATCCGGGGAGAGGCAGATGAGCTCCCTCTATCAGGTCCAGCTCCTCATGCGGGGACATGAGAGAAGCCTCCCACAAGGATGATAAAACATCAAATCATCCGGGCGACCCCTGGGCAACGTCCTTTTAGATGGCCAATTCTCTCACACCAGAAGCGACTTGGTTTCTCAAGTTGCTCCTGACACGAAAAAAAGAAGGGGGTTCAGTGTGGGAAGTTTGCCCCAATTCTGCCGTTGATGGGGTTCAGAATGCTCTTTGATTGTAGGTGAACTATAAATCCCAGTAACTACAACTCCCAAATGTCAAGGTCTATTTCCCCCAAACTCCTTCTGTGTTCCTACTTGGGCATATTGAGTATTCATGTAGAGTTTGGTCCAGATCCATCATTGTTTGAGTCCACAGTGCTCTCTGTATGTAGGTGAACTACAACTCCCAAACTCAACGTCAATGCCCACCAAACCCTTTTAGTGTTTTCTGTTGGTCATGGGAGTCCTGTGTGCCACGTTTGGTTCAATTCCATTATTGGCGGAGTTCAGAATGCTCTTTGATTGTAGATGAATTATAAATCCAAGTAACTACAGCTCCCAAATGACAAACTCATTTTTTGTTTTAGTGATGGTCACTCCTTGGGTTAGTAGGTGTCTTGTGATCAAATTTGGCCACAATTCGTCCAGTGGGTTTTGAGTTATGTTAATCCCACAAACAAACATTACATTTTTATTTATATAAGATAGAAATAAGTGGAGCTAGGGAATTTGGTGTGATTGTATATGTTGTTATACTACTCTGTGAATATGGTCATTTTGTGTTTTGTGAAATACTGGACACAAAGAGCCTCCTCAGCTTGTAAGGGGAGGTCATGTTGTCAAGACTATTATCCCTTGAAAGCCACATGCCTGCTCTTATGCCACTCAACGAAACAAGTTGTTGGCGACAAAAAGCTGCTTGTAAAGATGGAAGACATTTTTATTTGGCTTGGAAACTTCATCTTGGAGGCAGAAATTAAATCCTCAGTTAATCTGTGGTGGCATGAATAAAACACGTGCTTGGGGTTTTTTTTGCCTTTTCTCTTTGAGGCCATTGTGTCAGAATTGCTGGGCAGAAACACATCTCGGCTCAAGTTTCTTTCTGTTGGTTTGTTGTCCAGTGTTTGTCTCATGATTAACTATGGATAGCTTGACAACGAACTGATATCAAAGATAATTAATTGCCTAACGTACCCTGCTTCAACTGCTTTCAGGGAAGCTAACAATTGGAATTCAAAGCCAAACATGAGGCAGGCCATGCCTGCCAAGATACTTCAATCATGTTCTCTCTGGCTTGGCTTCCTTATGACGCTGGTGTGTTCTGTAACCGGAGAGGATTGTGGATGTTGTGTGGAGGCTCTTACAAAATACGAGATGTCAGTTTAAATGTCATACCCATTAACGTTAGCAAGATTAATATTTTTAGAGAGCTGACTTTTGCTACAGCTAGGGTGTACATAAGCTTTCAAATGAGATCAGTTGAAGCTTTAGCGAAATATCAGCATGTGTTTTTTACATGATGGAGAGGAGGCTGAATAAAAGATACCATAATTACCTCTAATTACCTTCATTTCTGAGTTCTTTCCACTTGCCATTTATATCACATTACTGTTGATGATCATAGAGGTCAGTTGTTATTTTATTGTTTAATGTATTGTCGAAGGCTTTCATGGCCAGAATCACTGGATTGTTGTAGGTTTTTTCGGGCTATATGGCCATGGTCTAGAGGCATTCTCTCCTGATGTTTCGCCTACATCTATGGCAAGCATACCTCTGAGGATGCTTGCCATAGATGCAGGCGAACGTCAGGAGAGAATGCCTCTAGACCATGGCCATATAGCCCGAAAAACCCTACAACAACCCATTTTATTGTTTGTTATTCATACAGTGATAGCAGCATACTTGGTACCTTGTGTATGTGCCTACAATTTGCAACTTGACTTACAGTGACCCCATTCATTTCATAAAGTTTTCTTAGGCAAGGATTACTCAGAGGACGTTAGGCGATCCCTCGCTTTCCGAGGATGATTGTCTTCCAATATTCTTGTGGGTCCGTATGTGGCTGTGGAGCCCTATTCTTGCTCTGCATCTTCTTCCGCAGTGAGGGCACTGGTTTCCAGGTGGAAGGTGGTCTGGGTCAGGGTTGGCTTGACGCGCCTTCCTCTTGGCACGTTTCTCTCTTTCGCCCTCCATTCGTGCCTCCTCAAATTCTGCAGCACTGCTGGTCACAGCTGACCTCCAGCTGGAGCGATCAAGGGCCAGGGCTTCCCATTTCTCAGAGTCTATGCCAGAGTTTTTAAGGTTGGCTTTGAGCCCATTTTTAAATCTCTTTTCCTGTCCTCCAACATTCCGTTTTCCATTCTTGAGTTCGGAGTAGAGCAACTGCTTTGGGAGACGGTGGCCGGGCATCCAGACAAGACGGTGGCTGGGCATCCAGCAGAGTTGGTGGCGGAGGACCATCGCTTCAATGCTGGTGATCTTTGCTTCTTCCAGCACGCTGACGTTTGTCCGCTTCTCTTCCCAAGAGATTTGCAGGATTTTCCGGAGGCAGCGCTCTGGAATACTCAGAGGAAGGAAGAGAAGGAGAGGCAGAAGAAAAGACCCTGGGGTTAGGGGAAAAGAGAGAGGAGACCAGAGGGGGAAAGGGGCAAGGAGATCTAAAAATAGCTAGAGATGCAGGAGAAGATGTTGGTGGAGATGATTGACAGTTCCTTACTCTGAAGAAGAGGAAACAACACATGGTATTGGCAGTCTTCCATCCAAGTCCCAACCAGGACTGATCTTAGCTTCCAATACTGGTACCTAAGGTATTTAGGGTCTATATCAGGGGTCCTCAAACTAAGGCCCGAGGGCCGGATACAGCCCTCCCAGGTCATTTACCCGGCCCTCAGCTCATGGTCAACCCAAGTCTAAAATGACTTGAAAGCACATAACAACAACAATCCTATCTCATCAGCCAAAAGTAGGCCCACACTTCCCATTAAAATACTTTTTTTGTCATGTCAGGAGTGACTTGAAAAACTGCAAGTCGCTTCTGGTGTGAGAGAATTAGCCGTCTGCAAGGATGTTGCCCAGGGGACGCTCGGATGTTTTGATGTTTTAACATCCTTGTGGGAGCCTTCTCTCATGTTGCCACATGGGGAGCTGGAGCTGATAGAGAGAGCTCATCCGTGCTCTCCCCGGACTCAAACCTGCGACCCACTGTGCCACCGGGGGCTTCATAATATTAAAACACTAAAAAGTTTATATTTGTTAAAATTGTTCTTCATTTTAATTATTGTATTGTTTTTAAGTGTTTTTTGCACTACAAATAAGATACGGCCCTCCAAGGTCATTTATACCCGACCCTTGACTCAGGGTCAACCTAAGTCTGAAACGACTTGAAAGCACATCACAACAACAACAATCTTATCTCATCAGCCAAAAGCAGGCCCACACTTCCCATTAAAATACTAATAATAAGTTTATATTTGTTAAAATTGATCTTCATTTTAATCATTGTATTGTTTTTAAGTGTTTTTTGCACTACAAATAAGATATGTGCAGTGAGCATAGGAATTCATTCATGTTTTTTTCCAAATTATAATCTGGCCCTCCAACAGTTTGAGGGATTGTGACCTGGCCCTCTGTTTAAAAAGTTTGAGGACCCCTGGTCTACATGATTCCTTGTTGAGTTACATAGGACAGGATAGACATGCCACCTATTTTATAACATCTGAACTGGTCTTATGAATAAATAATGGAAGAAAGTGGAGAACTGTTGAGGCAATTGTGTATGGGTGTTCTTTGTCAGGAAGCAAATCTGGATCGGGCAGTAGAAGACCTAAGAGAGCAGGCAGAACTTCATCCTCACTTCATGTCATCTTAGAACCAGATGGGTTGTTTTCCTCCTTGCTTCCCTGAGAGGCTGTACCAGAGTCCTCCAGAGCTAAGAGAACTTTGAGCCACAGAAGAATTATATTGGTTTGGAGCAGTGGTTCTCCACCTGTGGGTCTACAACTACAATACAAGATATTTTAGCCTACAACTCTCAGAAATCCTAGCCAGTTTACCAGTTGTTAGGATTTCTGGGAGTTGAAGGCCAAAACATCTGGGGAACCACAGGTTGAGAACCACTGGTTTGGAGAAATGCAGATTTGCAAATGGTTGGGATCAGCACAGAGGTTAAAGCACTGAGCTGCTGAATTTGCTGGCTGAAAGGTTGGCGGTTCTAATCTGGTGAGTGGGGTGAGCTCCCACTGTTAGCCCCAGCTTCTGCCAACCTAGCAGTTCGAAAACATGTAAATGTGAGTAAATCAATAGATACCATTTCGGCAGGAAGGTAACGGCGTTCCATAGTCCTCCAGTGCACATTGAGTAGCCTTTCGAGTGCTTGTCATTAAGCTGTAATTCTTATTTATAAAATGCTGTAGGCACTTAGGACAACTTCATCTCTTCTGTTTTGTCACATGCTTTAAGCTCCAAAGAAAAACATCTTACCAATACCATCCGTGTAGCAAAATGTTTTAGTAGGTGCCCAACAACTGTGTCATCCTCCAGTGCCTACATTTCATTACTATTCACATCTAGTCATTTTCTGGAATGTACCATAAAACCCTGAGCTGGCTTTCAGTGACTGTGAGTAAATTAATTTTGGATAATCTTTAATATAGAGTTTAATGTAAGAGTGTGTGTGTGTTTTTTTTAAAAAAACAAACCAAAATAAAACAAAGCAATAATCTGTACCTTTATATGTTAATCTGAATTTTGTTTTCCTGCTTTGTTGAATGGTTACTTGACCTGAAATGGCTTAGATCTTGGACAGTATAATCGTATACAGGTCAAACCAATGAATGTTGTGGAATAAAAGCTAAATTTAATCACTGATGCTACCTCCAAGGTTTTATCAGAATGTTCCCTCTGACTTTGGGAACACGGGACAGTATTTTTTATCGTGTCAGAAGCAAATTGAGAATATACTACAAGTTGCTTCTGGTGTGAGAGAATCGGCTGTGTACAGTGGTTCTCAACCTGTGGGTCCCCAGATGTTTTGACCTTCAACTCCCAGAAATCCTAACATCTGGTAAACTGGCTGGGATTTCTAGGAGTTGTAGGCCAAAACTCCTGGGGACCCACAGGTTGAGAAGCACTGGCTGTGTACAGAGACATTGCCCAGGAGATGTCCAGATGTGTTACCATCATGTGGGAGGCTTTTCTAATGCCCCCGCATGGGAAGCTGGGGCTGACAGACAGGAGCTCACCCCATCTCGTGGATTCAGGTCAGCGGTTCAGCTGGCACAAGGGTTTAACCCATTGCGTCAACACGGCTCCTTATGGTGCAGTATGTTTCATATGTAAAGAGCCCTTGCTTCATTAGCCTAAAAGTGTTCCAGCTTCAGTAGCTTAACAGGTTTGTAGATATCTGAACTTTCTGTGTTTCTAAAAGTGAGTCCATGGCTCTGTGGATGGAGTCCATCTTTTACTGCAAAAAGGCCTAAAGTTTAGTTCCCTGCTAACTTCAAATATGGTTAAGACACACTCTTGTCTAAAACTGTAGAGAGCCGCTGCAGATCAGTGTAGACAACATTGAGCAAAATTGATTTAAGGCACAGATTTGGCATAAGGGAAGCTTATTTCTATCTCAAGGTTTTTTTTAACCAGGTTGTTTTCCACTTGGAAAAGAAACCATTATCAAAGTGAGGAAAGGACCATTTGCTGGTTACTGGCTATGGGGAAAAGCATAAAATAGATCCAGGCATCTAGTCTGCAGTAGTGGCATTGGGACAGCGAGTTGTATGGGATATGAATTAACATATTCAGTGCACTGAAGTTGTTTTGTTGGTTGGAAGTGTTACTGTTGATGTCAACAGATTTCAGACTTCATTCCCAGGATGATGGCACAAAGGTTTCAGTTATGATTCATAATCCTAAATATAAATGTGAAACATTCTGCTGAAGCTAATAAGATTTCTTGCAGGTTTAAAGTGATGCATATGTTGAAATATCTCAGTTCATTTTGGATCACAAGACCAAAGGGAACGTCACTTAATCAGGAGATGTAGATAATAATAAAAATGTGCTCCTTTCCTTCATCTGATGGGTAAAGCAAAGTGTTTGCTGAGTTACTAAATCAAGTTTGGTGTGTACACATTTTTCCCTCTTTAATTTGCCTTAGGGATGATGAAGAGAAGAAGAAATCTCCCTCAGATGGTACTGATGAGAAGGATAATTCAAAGACGGCCAATCGCATTGGCAATTCCAGTAACCCCTTCCTAGACATCCCTCACGATCCCAATGCTGCTGTGTACAAAACTGGATTTCTGGCACGTAAAATCCACGCGGATATGGATGGAAAGAAAAGTGAGTGTGTTTCAATGAGGACAGGGGAAGGAAAAAATTGGAAGGATTCATACATGAGGCTAAACAAAGCTGATTTGCTTGGCTTTCCACTGCTACCTCTTGTTGCCTGTGAGAATCCAAGCAAAAGGTACGACGGTTGAATGAAAAGTAATACCTCCACCTTTGTTACTTGGGTTTGGATGGGAATATTTTAATAAATCAAACGCAGAAATAATCCTTAGAATGTGCTCTTTAACTTGCTTGAAATTTCTCTCTGAGTTATACGACGATCATCCTGAATCAATCTGTCAACCTTTTGCTTGTGAAACTCGGTGGTTGCTGTCACAGGACGTCCAACTCTTTGTCACACAAGTCAGATGTTCCCACCTCAACATCTTTAAACTTACTTGCCCAACGATGCACAGTACTCACATCAACACAATCACCATAAACAGCTTGCATTCTCTGATGAATCTCGGTTGGGGTGACACCTTCTGCTGTCAAGAATTCAATTATTCAATGCTTAAGTTGCATTGACTGACCGTCTATGCAGGGTTCCATACTTCACACTTTAACAACACAACTGTTCAATGCTAAGGCTTCCTGCCAAAATGGAACTGTAGAGGAGAGTCTACTGAACAAGCCTGTACCTGCCGCATACCGGTACTGCCATCTGTTGAGGAGTTACGAAGGTGGAGGCATTACTTTTCATTCAACCATCGTATCAGCTCAAGAGCCTAGTAGAGGAAATGCAGTCTCTGGGTCTTGCTGGTTGAAGAAAGCATTCACTTTGGACAAAATTAGCTTATACTGCCACATAAAATCCAGATTATCTGCTTTGAACTGGATTATAAGGCAATATAGATTCAGATAATCTGGTTCAAAGCAGATAATGTGGATTATCTGCTTTGATAATGTGGCTTATATGAAAGTGTAGAAGGGCCCTAAGAGGATTATCAAGGAAGCTGCCCATCCGAACTCAGAGCAAGTGGCATAAAGATGGTGTAAGTGCCGGCAGTACTGTCAAGTCTTAAACTCATTACTGATGCAATAAAATTTTGTTTCTGGAATATTTTAGCAGAGATATTTGTGCTAAAATATTTGGGAATCTGGCTGTACTAATTCCTGATCATTGGCCAAACCATCTGAAGTATCTGGGATTTGAAGCCCCAAACAACTGGAGAACTAGAATTTGGGAATCACTACCTTAATGTAAACATCAGTGAAAATAGGTCTTGTGAGTGAAGGGGAAAGTAACATTTTGTGTGTGTATCCAAAATAAGTAAAATCTTCACACTAAGCAATGTATGCATTGTTGTTTCTTTGTGTCTTTCCCACATTTTAAACTCTGCATTTGTCTAAAGGAGGGGAGACAAGGAATCTTTGAAAACTAATGAGTCTGGTCAGAGCAATGTCTTGATTTATATTGCAAACATTTTCTTAAACGTCTGTTGTTTGTGTGTGTGTTTCATTCTTAGCTCCACGAGGGAAGAGAGGCTGGAAAACCTTTTATGCTGTTCTCAAAGGCACTGTACTTTATTTACAAAAGGTAAGAGCCTTCCTACTAAATGCATTCTCTGATTCTCTAATTAGGTTTATTAAAAATATAATAAATTGGAGAATTACTTAGCCTTTGGCTCGGGTTGCTTCACTAATTGATCTAATACATTTTCAATGCACGCAAGTTACTTGAACGATAATACGATTGGTAACTGGAGGCCCTGTCCCTCCAGTTTGGGATGCTGTGGGGAAGAGACAAAAGAATGACTTTTATTGCCTCCATAACTTGGGATCTTGTACAAAGCAGAGAAATGAAGGGAGAGAAGGATACATTTTCCCACTTCGCCCTTAGATAAAGAATAATACATTTCTTCCTAGACTTTAACATGAGTTGTGGAAACACAATGACAGGAGGGGCATTGCAGGTCCAAATCTGTTGCTTCACCAACATAATAATAATAATAATAATAATAATAATTATTATTATTATTATTATTATTATTATTTATGTATTTATTTATATACCGCTCTATCTCCCCAAGGGGACTCAGTTCCCAGGTAACATCACAAAACATACAAAGTAAAAAACAACATAACCATAAGATTAACAAAACAAAATATAAACATAAAAATTATCTCCATAACACATATTTTAAAAGAATCCTACCTGTTCAAGGCAATTAAAAAATTTAGAAAAGACCGGGCCAAGATTTGTGCAAGCCCAAAAATTCTAGGGGGCCTGGGGATTAAGTGCAATGCTATGGCAGGCAACAATGATATTAGGTACGGGTCTGTGGCTGTTCATTCCGGGGCCGATTAGAGGAAGTGATCTGGGTAATTGGTAGGAAGAATAAGACCGTTGAAACCACCAGGCCTTCAAGCTCTTACAAAAGGAAGGGAGGGATGGGGCCTGTCTTATTTACCTTGGAAGGGTGTTCTAGAGATGGGGGGCCACCACCGAGAAGGCTCTCTCTCTCGTCCCCACCAACCGTGCTTGAGACAGTAGTGGGACCGAGAGGAGGGCCTCCCCGGAAGATCTTAGAGCTCGCGCCGGTTCATAGAAGGAGATGCGATCGCGGAGATAGCCCAACTCGTTCACAGAGATTGTAAGTTTATCTCGTAGTGTTATATAACAACCAGTACTTCACTGTTCAACTACTCTAATAGGGCTGTTTGATGAGAAGTGTTGTGTAATATAGTGCTGACGAATCTTAATAGAATTTGGGATTTCTGCCCCATCTTTTTCCAGCCACTTATTCAAGCTTTGTCACCCAATATCATTAACTCAGGTTTGAGTCCAGTATTCCACCTTGGAATAAATCTAAATAAAATCAATGGGATTTATATCTGTTGCCATGCTTAGGGTTATATTGTAAGTATGGGACAGCCTTTCCAAAGTTCTCTGAAAGTCTGTTTCCCCTTTCATTAACAGAACAGAGTTATATGGTTATAGATGCAGATATATCACAATTAACAAAGTAGACGTGTTGCTGGGCATTACTTCTTTATCAGAAAGAATAAAAGGAAGAATAGCGACAGGTGCCTTCACAATAAAAAAGAGCAATTTCCCACATGTTCCAGCAAACTTTTTATCCAAAACTAACAATATGCCCCTGGTGACACTGTGAGTTAAAACGCTGAGCTGCTAAACTTACTGACTAAGAGGTCACAGATTCGAATCCGGGGAGCAGCGTGAGCGCCCACTGTTAGCCCCAGCTTCTGCCATCCTAGTAGTTTGAAAACATGCATATGTGAGTAGATCAATAGGTACTGCTCGAGCTGGAAGGTAAAAGCACTCCATGCAGTCATGCTGGCCACATGACCTTGGAGGTGTCTACGGATAACACCGGCTCTTCGGCTTAGAAATGGAGATGAGCACCAACCCCCCGAGTCGGACACGACTGGACTTAATGTCAGGGGGAAACCTTTACCTTTACCTAACAGTATGCACATGTGAAATCAAATAAACCTAAATATGCTAAAACATATGAACCTTCTAGATCACTTAAAAGCTGTGTTGTCCAAGAATTTCATGGCCAGAATCACTGGGTTGCTGTGAGTTTTCTGGGATTTCTGGCTATTTCACCCACATGGCAGGCATCCACAGAGGTTGTGAGGTACATTGGAAACTAAGCAAGGGGGGTTAATATATTTGTGGAAGGTCCAGTGGGAGAAAGAACTCTTGTCTGTTGGAGGCAAGTTTGAATGTTGCAATTAATCACCTTGAATAACACTGTAAAGCCTTGCAGCTTCAAGGCCTGGCTGATTCCTGTCTGGGGGAACCCTTTGTTGGGATGTGTTAGCTGGCCCTGACTGTTTCATGTCTGAAATTCCCCTGTTTTCAGAGTGTTCAGCCGGAGGACTCAGCCAGGCCTTAAAGTTGCAAATGCTAAATATTTCACTTATGAAGTAAAGTTACATAGACTGAAAGATTGAAGGATGCAGGAAAGTTTTTCTCTATTTTGTACGACAATCCTAGCCTTGCTTGCAATTAAAAATGACCAGATGGCATTCATGCATCTTTGTTTAACTTTTTATCCAAATTTTCACAGCAACGACTTTCCATTTTAAGAGACAGACAGCTGAGCTACTTTTTTGATGTGTGTGTTAGCTAATCCCAAATCCAGTTATTTTAAAAACTGGATTTCAAGCACTACAGTGAAAAATGGGGGGTTTTAGCTGACAAGGCAATTGCAGGATTAATTTTTAAGAGACGAGCTTAAGAATATGTATAAGGGGCATGTGCGGCGTTGACACATCACCCAGGGTTTCAGAGGTGGACAGTCTTTTAATCCATCCTCTTGTTAAAAAAAAGTGTTGGGGCAGATGGGCAAATTATTTACTTTCTAAAAAGTGGTGGCCAGCTTCAGAATAGCAGGGTTTCAAAGTTTGGAGAGATCACAAAGGCCATGTAGTCCGATCCCCTGTTGTGTAGAAACACACAACTAAAGCATGTTTGAAAGATGTTTTCCTTCATGCAGAAGGAGCCAAAAGGTGGAATATTTTGAAGCAGTATTGCTTAGCCAGTCTGAGTCCCTCTACGGAGGTAAAGAAGATCAAGATATAAACGTTTTAAATAGTAATAAAAAAAATAATAAATACTATTTTCAAACAGTAGGGAGGTTTTAAGAACCAACTATTGTTTGGGTGGTTGGCATATCACTATGGTGGTCCTTCCATTATTTAAAGCTGTGGCTTAAGACTATAGGGTACATGGTGTCTCATAAATTTTTGTTTCATTCTTTATTTGAAGAGGGCTAGTCTTCTGGAGTTTCACATTCTTGAAACTAGAATAATAGAATTATAGAGGTGAAAAAGACAACAGGGACATCCAATCCAGCGCCGTCATGCAGAAACACACATTCAAAGCATCCCCAACAGATGGTCATCCAGTCTCTGTTTAAAAAAACTCAATAGAAGGAGACTCGACCATATTCCACTGCCAAATAGCTCTTACCATCAGGAAGTTCTTCCTAATGTTTAGGTGGATTTTTTTTCCTGCAATTTGAATTCATTGCTCTGTATCCTGGCCTCCCAGAGCAGCAGAAAACAAACTTGCTAATTGTGTTCACTCATATTCTTGTGCAAGGATCTCCACACACTCTCACCAGGTCTCCACTGGCAAGAGCATCTTTAGTGCTGGGAAGAGTTTGACTTCAAGGAGCATCCTTTTCTTCTGAACCCAGAAAGAATGTGTGGGATCCTCCCTTGCAGAGGATTAGTGTGCTGTCCAAAGAAATCTCTTGGGCACATGGAGTGACACTGCGTGTCTGAATCAGCTTTGAAGAAAGGCAGTCACAATGCTTGATGTAAAAGTGAGCCACCACTCGCTGGGACTTCTCAGATGTATAGGTGCTCAGGTGATCCTGTTCAGTCACTTGCAGCAAAGCAGCCCCAGGGCCCAACTCTTGGAGTTCCCGAAGAAGAAGAAGAAGAAGAAGAAGAAGAAGAGGAGGAGGAGGAGGGAGAAGAAAAGGAAGAAGAAGAAAAGGAAGAAGAAGAGGAAGAAGAAGAAGAGGAGGAGGGAGAAGAAGAGGAAGAAGAAGAGGAGAGGAGGAGGAGGAGGAGGAAGAAGAAGAAGAAGAAGAAGAAGAAGAACAACAACAACAACAACAACAACAACAACAACAACAACAAGAAATGGGCGGCTTACATGGAGCCAAGCCCAAGGCAGAATACAATTAAAAGCAAAACAATAACAATTAAGACACCATAAAATAGCATAAAAACAACATAACAATAATAACAAGCAACAGCAGTAACAGCAGACTAATTTTGGAGGGGGGAAGAAGACCACTATGCGAACTGGTTAAAGGATAAGGTGGTACAATAAGGTGGATAACAATTTATAATAGCATAGGAAATATGAAAACAGAGCAAAATTAAGAGGATCAGAATCAATTCAGTTAATGAAATATAGCAAATCAGATTAATGTAATATAGGAAATCAGATTAAATAATTAAATCAGACCCTCCTCCAAGGAGATATCCTCCGGGTCCACAAACCCACCTGGAAAGCCCAGGCGGCCATCTGCAACAAGACGGCATAAAGCAGCAGGAATTTCCCGAAGAGGCATCCGGGGCAGGTTGTAGAGGCGTGCTTTCACTGGGGTGACCCCAGGCTCAAGGCCTCCTCCTGGGACAGAAGCCCAGCTTTGCCCATGATGCAATGCTGCCTCCTGGCCTGGGAAGTCCTTTTGCTACCTTCAAATCTGTGTCACAAGGAAGAACAGAGCACCATGCTGTCTTCAATCGAACTCCATCACAATGCAATGAGCAACAATCGTGAGTGCCTTAAAAGCTTATTGTAGCATGGAGAATTCCACATTGAGCCAGAATGGTGTAGTCTTTGGGACACAAGCATTTGAGACCTTGCTCAATCATGGAAACCCACTGGGTAACCTTGGAAAAGTCAAATACAGCCTCATTGAAGGTAACTGCAAACCTGCTCTAAATAAACCTTGTCAAGAAGATCCTGTGATAGTTTCTCCTTAGAATTGTCATAACTTGGAAATGAAGGCACAGAGCAATCACAACTGTATGCAACTT